TAATCCTTCATCTGTACATATTTATCATATTTACGTTCTCTCTCTCTCTCTCTGTGTGTGTGTGTGTGTGTGTGTGTGTGTGTGTGTGTGTGTGTGCGCGCGCGTGTGTGTGTGTGTGTGTGTGNTGTGTGTGTGTGTGTGTGTGTGTGTGTGTGTGTGTGTGTGTGCGCGCGCGTGTGTATGTGTGTGTGTGTGCGCGTGTGTATGTGTGTGTGTGTGTTTCATCTTCAGTGTCTGAGGGTGTCTATGGAGGTCAGGCAGAGGGATGGTAGTACCACCTCCAAAGCAGTAATTTGATTGACCAGTCTCATCCTTCCCACTCTGCACATTAAATATTTTCCTCAGTAAAATTATAGCAAAGAACCTCTCCCCAGCCTGACAGTTGCCTGGATCTAAGCATCCATGTGTAAACCCACTACCCACTAAGCTCTACTCCAATCCTGCAGCTGGTGCTATTTCAACACCAGACAGCAGATGTTTGTTGTTGTTTCTACTTCCCAGGAATAGAGCAGGATATTGTTATCTCCACCAGATCTCTCCCATTCCTGTTGCCTCCTTTGTCCTCCATTCACTGAATCAAATCCTGTTAACCCTTCCTTTTCCTGATGGCACAGATGAGGTAAGGAAAGACACAGGCCTTGCTGTGATGGTGCTGACAGCTCTCCTTCCTTCCCCAGCTGCTTGTCTTCCTGTGTTAAGACATGGCCAGAAAGCCCAGAGGGGTAAGAGGGATGCTAGAGATCTTCCCTCTTCCAGGAGCTGTACAGCTGACACTATTTGTTCTTGAGTACCTAGGGACACAAATGACAACAGTTCTTCCCTGGGCCATCTTCAGAAGGACAGTTTTCCCCATCTTGGATTGTGAAATAACTGTAGACACAGATCTTGCATCTGCCTTGGGGGTACCCATCTGTTGTCTTTGTCAAACCTTAGGAAGCTCAGGCTGACACTTCCAGATCATCAAAGGGCAAGACTTTGGGGCCAGGCCATCAGGAAGGAGTCAGCTTCAACCATGACAGCAGCCAGCTGTAAGAAAAGTGGGGAGCTGAAGCCAGAGCTCAGATCAGGGGCTTAGTTCAGCATCATCTCTTGTCAGCTAAGCACAACTGCTGTAGCCAATAAAGCATGTTTCAGTTCACAGAAACAGTAAAGAAACCCAAGACAAACAAACAGAAAGCTAGGGAAGGAATTTTCACTAGCCAGCATGCATGACTTCAGAATAAGAACTGCCAATAATATTCTTGTGACACGCCAACATGAGGTGAAATTTCATTCATGTGCAGTGACTTTTCAGAAATCGGCTGCAAAGAGAGATATGAGCCCTGTCAAGGGGACAGAAAGGCAATACCTGAGGAACAGGGTGCAGAGCTGCTGACTGAGACAAGTGTATTGTGTGTAGTGATTTTTGGTGTTTACCAAGGCAAAACTCCATGGGCCAGTAAAGGGACATTTTCCTTCACAGGAAAGGAACAGGGCATTTCTATAGTTTGTAGCAACCAATCCCTGGCAGGTTTTATTCCTTTTCCTTCTTGGTTTTTTTTTTTGTTTTTTTTTTTCCTTTGCTTTTTCTTTCCTTTCTCCTTTTGTTTTTTTATTTCCCCCTTTCTTTTCTGCCTCTTCTCTTCTCTTCTCTTCTCTTCTCTTCTCTTCTCTTCTCTTCTCTTCTCTTCTCTTCTCTTCTCTTCTCTTCTCTTCTCTTCTCTTCTCTTNTCTTCTCTTCTCTTCTCTTCTCTTCTCTTCTCTTCTCTTCTCTTCTCTTCTCTTCTCTTCTCTTCTCTTCTCTTCTCTTCTCTTCTCTTCTCTTCCTCTTCTCTTCTCTTCTCTTCTCTTCTCTTCTCTTCTCTTCTCTTCTCTTCTCTTCTCTTCTCTTCTCTTCCCTTCCCTTCCCTTCCCTTCCCTTCCCAGAACTTCCCAGAACTTCCCAGAACTTCTATTTTCTCTTCCTCTTTATCTTACCCATTTTGTTTTCCATTATCTTTTCAATTCAGGCCAGAGCTAAATGCCAAATGAGGAAATATCCCTCTTTTAATGGTGCTGATTTAGGGATCATTGTATCATCCAAATCCTCCTACAAGTCTGCTTCCCACACCATACCAGCATTGCTGTTTCAGAGCCTGCCATCCTGTGAACTGCTAAATGGACATGCAGCAACAAGCAGTAGCTGCTTTTCTTTTCGTTTTTCTTTTTTGTTGTTATTTGTTTTGTTTGGGGTTATTTTTTCATTTATTTATTCTCAGTAGCCAAAGCAGTTCTTGGCCTATTACTCCCCCATGATTTTAAACTTGGGATGCAAACCATATCAGAGTGGTACCTGCTCCGAAGTCGATGTGAGGCAGTGGAGAGGCTTCCGGAGGATTCTGGCCAGCCTTCTAGCGAAGCCCAGGAGGCTGGGGGTGGTGCGGGGAAGGCCGGTGCTAACAAAAGCATTCTGGTTGGCAGTGAATGTTTTTATTTTCCAGACTCCGCAAACCGATCTGTGTCTGCGCTCATCCATTCAGTGCATGCTCTCCTCAACAGCCGCTGCATCACGCTCTGTTCCTGTTCGCTGTTGACCGTGTGTCCACATTTAAGTGTGTGTTTTATGTGTGTCTCTGGCTAGGCCTTCTCCACCCTTTTTTTTTTTCTGTTCTTCTTTACTTTCTTTTCTTCTTTTCATTTCTTTTCTTTCCATTCAGTTGGTTTGTTTTGCCCTCATTCTTGTTTCGTTTTCTATAGTTTAATGGCAAGTATTTCCATTAGAATTTTTTGATTGATGCTGTGTTTGTAACATCATTTTTTAATTATTATTTTTATATATATCTTCTTTCCCCACCTTTCCCTTTTTCCACACTATATATAAATATATATATATAAAAAATCTTTTCTTCTTTTGTCATTCAATCAAATTCCAACCAAGAGCCAGTCAAATCCACCACAGTCTCGCGCTGAGCTAGGAAAAAAGTTCTCGTAATGACATGAAAGTGGAGAATACAGTTCCCCAGGCCGTAAGTTCAAATCAACTCGAAGTTGAAAGTGTGACATGATGGCGTCATGTAACAAGCTAAGAATTGGTTGCATGACATGCCGTCAAGTTTCGTGCAGGTGCCGTGATTGAAGCATTTTTCTTGGATGTTGTATCAGTTGATGATTGGCCAGTCATGATCACATGTGCCTTTTTTGACTTTGTGCTGCCACAATTTTTTGCTGTGCTCATTTTCGTTTTGTTTTTGGTGCTTGCAGTGGTTTCTTTATTTGTCGTTTGATTTCTCGTCAGCGTTTTATGCTTCTTTAGATGTCACATAGAAGGAAAAAAAAAAGATGGATTCCTAATTCTTTTGAAAAAATATGGGATTGTTGTAACTACAGATAATTTGGAAAAAAAAAAAGTAGAGAGAAAAATGTGTGGTTAATTTTTTGCACTGAAAATCTTGTGATTATTTTTTTTTTCCGGAGAATTGGGGCCTTTTTCAATTGACACCTTTTTTTTCCCCTTAGGATATTTCAAAACAATTTCTAAAAATTAAAAAAAAAAAAAAGAAAAAACAAAAATGGAAAATCCAAATCCAAACTAAAAAGACTAATGATAGTAATGGTAGTTTGCAAACTATAGCAATCAAAAAAAGCAACCCCAAGAAAAGCCTCATTGTATGTCTTTTCAAGAATTCCTAATTCTAAGGTGCCATATTACAGCAACTCCAGGCAAAAATTAATTGCTTAGAGGGAGGGAGGGATTGAGTGGGAAAAACACCCATCCAGATCAAAAAGCAAAATGCATCTTTTTGTTTACAACTGAAAAAGGGTCCTTGACGAGTGTTTTTTATTTTTTTATTATATTATTATTTTTGGTGTTGTAATTGTTTAGACTGCTGTGTACGGTTTGCTGTTTGTTGAACCAACAGTGTGAAAACCTGCCAGCATGGATTGATATTCCGCATGACACTTTTCCACCAGAGTGGACCTTTTGCAGTTTCTAAGTTTCTTGATGTAATAAATCACCGAGTGTATAAGAAGAACCTGCTTGCTAGAAGGAGATAAGAGCTAATCCTTAATGATTAAGCATCCTACTTAAATGTCAAGCCTAGTCGGATCATGATTATATTTTTTTTAATATTTTTTTTTATTTAAGAAATGTTAGCTTTACCTTTTTTTCTTTTCCAAAAAAAAAGTTTATTCCAACAGTCTTTTTTATTTAACCTCCTGTAAATTGCCTGTTCAAAGTCCTACTTTCTGACATTCACAAAGGAGTAGATGTTATTGGCAGCTATGTCTCCACAGAAAGCACATACACTGTCAAAGATGGCACCCCATTAAAATATCATATATATCCCCTTTCCTGATGCCTTTCACCCTACAAAAGCCTGACAAGCAAGATTGTGATCTGGCGTAGCAAAGCGGCACTTAAAAATATAATTAAAACGCCGCTGTCTTCACCTGTGTAGTGATGCAGATTTACATAGACATGCCCTAATTTTATTTTGATTTATTATTAATATTATTATTATTATTACCAATGGGAACAATTGTGTTTTACTTTATCATGATCGTGACTACCTTGCTTACTTTGGGTTTGATCCGGTTCCCACTGAAGTCAAGGGGAATCCTTCTGTTGATGTAAAGTGGGAGCAGAATCAGAGCCAAGGCCTTCAAAAGCAAAACACCAAAGCAGAAGCCCCATCCTGTCCCAATTGAAGGGAGAAGAAAACATCCATTACTTTCAACGGGAGCAGGATTGGGCCCAAAAGAACAGGCTTGAATTTAATTTTCATTTTTAGGTCTTTTTTTCCCCCCTCCTGTCTCAAATATTCCCCTACACCTTCCCTACTTCCCCCTCCCCTTTTTGACTTAATTTGCAATGATCTTCTTCATTTTTTAGGGCAGCAGCTGAATGGGCCACATTTAGAAAAAAAAAAAAAGTATATATATATTAAAAAAAAAGTGAACTGTTGGATTACATCTTTGACATATCAGCAAATATCAGTCAAGCTGAAGACTTCAGACCTATTCTCTCTTTGATTGTTTAGACTGTAACATTTCTTCAAGAAAAGTATCACATCTGCTGACTTCGAAGGACATGCGCTTGAAAACAAACAGACACATAAAGTAAAATCAGAGCAGGAGGAAGATGAACCAGAATTTCTGAAGAGACACTGATATCACCACAGCGGCTTTTCTTCAAACAGGAGATGCAAACCTGGATTCTGGCAAAGGAGTGCCTGTTTGCCACCAAGGATGCAGTTACCATGCGAGACCCATGGTAACAGTCTCTGAGCATCTTTATCTGTCATTCCTTAGCTATATAGGGACCAAAGGACAAAACTTTTTACCGCAGACTTGTAGCTGTATGTAAAATATGGAAGTTCTTTCCTTTTCTCTGAGCTGTTCCTAAAACAGTTTTTGAGAGCGATTATATGAAATATGTAAAACCTAAAAAAAAAAANAAAAAAAAAAAACAAAAAAAAACCCAAAAAAACCAAAAAACCCACAAAAAATACAAAAAACACCAAAAAAAAACCACAAAAAAATTACAAATGCTTAAATGCTTTTAAAATGGCAAGATAATAGTTCTTTGATACTTTGGGAGGTTCTTTGGTTATACATTAATTAGAGTCTATGAAGCTTTCATATGGTTTTCTGTATAATACGCAAGGATTGCGTGGTTAAAGGCAGGTAAGATGGATATCTATGAAAAGCAAAAAAAAGTAAATAAATAAATACATAATTAAGTACATAAAAAGGCATAGAAAAGAGAAAGGAAAGATGGTTGATATTAAATGGAAAACAAAAAGGTTTGTAAATGCTTCTAACTCTCCCCATTTAAAAACCTAATAGTTGTACAGAATTTAAAAAAGAAAGTTTAAAATACCTATATAATAGAAAAAATTAGACAACATAAAAATAAAAAAAACAAAAAAGCAAAAAAAAAAACTACATAGAAGTTAGCGTTAATGCTAAAAACAAAGATGTTGTAGAACTGTAATTTTGTAGAGTTTAGATTGAGCATAAATTCCTACTCTCTGCCAATTGCTGTTGGATGCTGTTATTTATCGAGGAGAAAAAGGAGAAAAATGGCTATTTTGGCAGCTTTTTTAACTGCAAGCATTCCAGCTATTAAAAAATAAACAAGACAAGACTCAATTCTGTAGACAATGCAAATGGGAAAAAAAAAAAAAACAGCTGTCTTTTTATCAGACGTTAGTTCTAACTTGAACAACAAAACACAGCTAAACGCTTCATGTCTTCATGATCTGCTGTCCGCAAAATTCCCATCATCCTATGCTTCAGTAGCTTCCATATTTGCTCTAGAAACCTTCAGGGCAAGGGATTAGCCTAGTACCTTAATCTTAAAAAAAAAAAAAAAAAAAAAAAAAAAAAATAAAAAAAAAAAAAAAAAAAAAAAAAAAAAAAAAACTTTAAAAAACCTTAAAAAAAAAAACATAAAAAGTACACTAAAGAAACAATCTCTTTGAAGAATTTCTGAAACTGTTTACAAGGAATTTTGAAAAACAGGGGGATGTTTAAAAAAAAAAAAAGATGCTGGCTCTGTTTTCTGTAAATAAATTTGCATATTTTGTAGGACTTTTAATTGTAATGATAGAGAAAAAACAAGGAAAACTATTTAATGAAAGCACGATATTTATCTTTGGTAAATGACTTTAGAGCAGTTAAAAATAAGACATTGCTTTAAAAATCTGACTCAGAAAAAACAATGAATTATTTAAGAACACATATATTTTAAAGAATATCATATTTATTATAATTTATTTTCACAGTCTTAAACCTTGATTTACATAATTCTCACACTTGTTTGCATTGATTGAGCAGTGTGATAAATGTTTTTTGATTATTATTTGGTTACACTCTTGTTTTTGGTTAATTCTCTTGGTTTGTTTCAGTATTTTTTATCTCAATCTCAAACTTTCTTTCTTTGTTGTTTTTCCTTTTTGTCTTTTTTTCTTCTTTTTTTTTAATGTTAATTTTGATTACATATTGGGCCTGACCGTGCAGTCCTTACTCTTCCAAAACTCTCATGGGGATATAACGAGCATTTTGCCAGAGTAAGGACTGAAGCAAACTGAGCCCACAGCTAGGAAGTACAGATGTGTAACGCAGCTGCAGTTCCATACAACTGCTCTTTCACTCTCAATTCCCTAAAACTCCTTGTAATCTTCTGTAATTATTGAATGACGCTTTCCAGCTTAGCCCTAAATAAAGCACAGTTTAAAAAAAAAAAAAAAACAAAACACTGTGTTCTTTACTTCTTGATGGGTTTTCTTAATGTGTTTGCTTTGAGAACAAAATGAATCTATTTCGACTCTTTCATTAATATACATTGTTTGAGTATCAGAACAAATCCCTTTGTTATATAAAACGTATCTCATTGGATTGAATTAATGACACTGTTTCATTTAATGTCTGCTTGATATTCCAGAGTGGTTTACCTTAAACCTAGTAGGTTAGAAGATCAAATAATGGTACATACAAATTAGTGTCATTGTAGCTCCCATTTGAAACCTGTTGTTTGATTTCATGCTCATGGTTTTTTCATGCTGATAAGTATAGAGGCCAAAGCTCAGGATGTTGCTCCTTTTGCTGCTTTGGGAAAATCCTGTGAAATTCAGCACTCTCCAGAGATGAGGCTCAATTTCTTCCTCAGCATCCCTCACATCTTGTCTTTTGAACAGTTATTTTCCTTTCCCCTGAAATGGCTGTAACAGATCCACTGAGCTGAGGTTGGGGCTGAGATCAGAGCCTTTATATTTTCTCCCTGATCCTTGCAGACACATCTGCATTTGGACAAGTTGCACAGGCTAAATCCACCTCTAAATGAGACTAATGTGCTTGTCCATAATTTGAACCCATAGGAAGGAGTTCTGTAAGTAGAAACTCCTATTATTAATACTATCAGTTACTTAAGTCTGTTCAGGGCAGTAGAAATAAATGAAATATAAATAAGATGATGAATATCAGGAGTGAACATGGTCAGTATTTGATTTTCTTCTGAAGGTAAAGGCAAATACAGAAAAGCACATATACCAAACCTAACCCTGCTTTTCAGCAGAGAAGATGATCTGCAGAGCACAGGGTAGACTAGAAATGTGGGAACTGGTCTCAGATGCTACTGAGAGAGAAAATGAGGACTAGATTTCCAATAGACAAGGTTTCTATTCCAAAACTTACTCAGCATCCTGTCCTGAGCTGCAGAAAAAGCACAGCCTCTTACCTAGACCAGGCTGAGAATAAAGTGTGGGGAAGGTCTGATGAAAATCACTACTGGAAGGAGGAAAACCTCACAACAAACAGGGAAGACTCAACTTCCCAAATTGGCATAGCAAAGGGAGAATTAAAAGGTGCCGCCTGATTGTCTCCCCAATTCTCAGATCACCTTCCATATCCTCCTCTGTGACCTTCAGTGTCCCCAGAGCTCTTCCCTACCCTGCTTGAGGTAGATGCTGTGTGTCTGCAGTGTGAGTCACATCCTGACAGATCTGCAACACATCCCTGTCATCCAAGCAGGATGGGCTGCAACCCTAGGGCATCCAGCTGGGAACACTTCTGGCCAATGAGATACAGCTGGGGGCTGTTGACTGATGATTGTGAGACAAGATTTTGTCTTGTTTCAGGTACCCTGCAATACACAGCAGATAAAATATCCAGTGTTGGAGGACAATCAGCTCCCAAAGGGAGACCAGGAAACACTATTAAAGATGACTCTATGACTTAGGTCAATACCCCAAAAATGTTACACTTTGCAGAGAAACCTTACTTGACTGGGGAAACTGGGTGTGAGGACAAGCAGGGACAACCAGTGACTCAAGAGAGACCATGCCTTGTCCTGATCTTTGTCCCAGGACACCCCCATGCATTACACTACAATCTCAAAAAGTGCTCGAATCTCCAAGTTCAGTCCCCAGTGAATAGGGAAGCACCACAAGGCTGTCAGCCCGCTGGAGGTTCGTTTACACTGGTGTGCTGGGAAATAAAGCAAGTTTGCTGTCACCACACTGCAAGTGATGGGTACTGGCTCTCCGGTTGTGGTAGAGGCACAGACTAGAGCACAATGAGCTGAAGCATAAGTGTAGATATGGTCTAAGAGCTGGTTAAAACACCCTTCTCTGGGTCGTACAGACATACCAGCCTTGATTTAAGTGCTTGTCTCAGAGAGACTCCATTCTTCTCTCCAGAAGACATTCATCCATTTACACTGCAAGTGCTGTAAAGCAAAGCAAATTGCAGCACAAGCCTGTTTCGGCATGGGGCTGTGTTGTTGGGGCAGGCAATTATCCAAAGAAACATCCCAGTTTGAAGCAATGACAATGAAGAGAGAGACCAGGTCTATCTGAAAGCCTGTAGCTGCATGTCTGTGTGCACGTGCACACAAAACACCATATTACAGAGGTTCAAAAGCCACTGCATGTTTGATGCTGGCTCCTCTCTCTAGTGTGTAGCTGCTAAGCCACATTACAGTAAACTAAAGGGTTTTTAAAAAGGTCAAACATTCATCTTTCACCAATGTGCTCCTTGGTACCACTGTGACTATAGCAAACTTCAGTCCTATACCCATGAGTAGTTGAAGGCAATCCTTGATACAAGAACAGGGTGTGGTTTGCTGTCATTCTTTAGGGAGTTCCAGGAGGACACCTCAACCAATAATCACATTTTCATCTCCCTAAGAAAGCAGTTCATACTCTCCTGGAGTCACTTTTCCATATTAGCATTCCTGCACACACAAGGTGAAACAATTCCTCTTCCCACCTCCATTCCATTCCCACTCCAGGCAGATGTTCATTAGCAAACTTTATTTTATTAAAAGGATGATATGGACTTTGAACAAGGCTTCAGAGTTCTGCCTGTTTTCCCTTTGTATAACAAATATTAAAATAATGTTTGGAAATGTCCTTGCAAAGCAAGGTCAGGACTTCTTCATCTCCAATATTTCAGTTTCCAGAAGCACATTTCTCCCAGTCCCAAATATGATCTGAGGGCAGCAACTGTCCCATAGGTGTAGAACCATGAAAGGGTGTTTGTGATCCCAGAAATAACTCACATATCACAGGGGGATTGGCAGATGGGGAAACTCATCACCAGGTGCTTCAGCGTAACACTGTGCAAGATTGTGCTCTGCACCACTTGGAGAAGGAAGCTGCTGATGCTCTTCCCTAGTAATGCCCCTTAGAAAAGGTCATTTGAAACAGCCAGACTTGTCCTGCCACTCCAGAGCAAATTAAATGGGAATAGCTTGCAAACTCAAAGCAGCCAACTGTTGAGCCTGAAAATGTCTTTTGGAATAGTATTGCTGTCTACTTGTTGAGAAAATCAGTTCTTAAAACAGTTCTCAATACCACTGCTTCTCTCTCACTACAGCAAACACACACATTAGAGCAAACACATCCCCAGAAAACACTCAGAAGGTTTCAAATCAGAGCCCTTGTGTAACATTTATTAAGGGTATGAGGTCATTCTTGTGTTTCATAGAAAAATGGAATTGTTTTGAGTTGGGAGGAACCTTTAAAGGTCATCTAGTCCAACGTCCCTGCAGTAAACTGAGGCTGGATCAGGTTGTTCAGAACCTCATCCCTCTGCACACTTGCCCTCAGCATTGTGCCAGCTTCTGTTAATGCCCACACAACCTGAAATCTTCCCCATATTGCCTCTGCCTCTGTAACGTCAGCACTGGTAAACATGCAATGAATGCTGGGAGGAAGAAACACCCTCGAAGCAAACATCCTCTCACCATGGCATTCATGAGCTATCCTGAATTCTGGGTCTCAGTCTGGTAAGTTCTGAACTTGGCACAGACCACCTCCAGCAAGCAAGATGGGGGAAGGTGTTTCCTTGCACAGGTATAGGTAAGCACATGCCCTCCCCATCTAAGCAGCAGCCTTGCAGGGTACAGCCCATTCTCAGGAGACACAAGAAGAGCAGGTTAGATTCTTCCCCGTCCAGAAGAAATTTGCCCCCTGAGACTCCTGCGACACAGAAGATGGCCCTGATTATAAAATGGTAGGTCAGTCCAGGGAGGTGTTCACAACTCCTCTCATTGATCTGCCTTGTCTT